AAGGGTATAAAAGAAGAAAATCTAATGACATGGCCTCCTTGTTCACCTGATCTGAACCCCATTGAGAACCTGTGGTCCATCATCAAATGTGAGATTTACAAGGAGGGAAAACAGTACACCTCTCTGAACAGTGTCTGGAGGCTGTGGTTGCTGCTGCACGCAATGTTGATGGTGAACAGATCAAAACACTGACAGAATCCATGGATGGCAGGCTTTTTGAGTGTCCTTGCAAAGAAAGGTGGCTATATTGGTCACTGATTTGTTTTTGTTTTGTTTTTGAATGTCAGAAATGTATATTTGTGAATGTTGAGATGTTATATTGGTTTCACTGGTAATAATAAATAATTGAAATGGGTATATATTTGTTTTTTGTTAAGTTGCCTAATAATTATGCACAGTAATAGTTACCTGCACACACAGATATCCCCTTAACATAGCTAAAACTAAAAACAAACTAAAAACTACTTCCAAAAATATTCAGCTTTGATATTAATTAGTTTTTTGGGTTCATTGAGAACATGGTTGTTGTTCAATAATAAAATTAATCCTCAAAAATACAACTTGCCTAATAATTCTGCACTCCCTGTATGTTCCAGGCGGACAAATAACATCTCCTTGTTCCTGGGGCCCATGAGTCCCAGAGGAGGCTTCTAGCTGATCCCGATAGCTCATCGACGTTCCAGGTTCCCCGGAAAGAGTCCAAGCCATCAAGTGGAGATGGCCTTCCAGTACGATGGGGTGATGGTTGCCTTGAGAATCCGACAGGAGCAGATGCAGAGACAGGAGAAGGAGCGGGTCCTGACATGACAGCTCTAGCAATTCTGGGAACCAAGCCTGGCCTTGCCAAAGAGGTGTCAGCAACACCAACGATATCTGTGGACACCATAATTGGAGAAGGACCCTGGAGATCATAGTGAATGGTGGAAATGCATAGGCTCCCTGCGCCGGCCAGTCCTGAAGGAAAGCATCCTGCGCATGTCTGATCCGGGAGCCAGCTGAAGTAATTCGATACCTGGAAGTTCGTCCTGGAAGTGAACAGATCCACCGTGAATTGGCCCCTCCGTCGTGCCACTTCGAGGAAGATTGGTCAATGTAGCCGCCAATCGCTGGCATTCCTCCAGTGTCTGGAGAACCAGTCTGCCGTCAGGTTCGACACACCTGGGAGATACTCTGCCTGGAGAGTGATATTGCGCTGAAGGCAGAAGTTGTAAATCTCCTTCGTCACCTCCGTCAGCGCCCGTGAGCGTGCTCATCCCAGGCGGTTGATATACCGCACTGCTGATATGTTGTCCATCCTCAGCAGGATGCAGCAATCCGACAGATGACCTGCAAGGCTGCGTATAGCGAATGAGCCCGCAATCATTTCTAGGCAGTTGATGTGATATCCTGTTTCCGTGCTTGACCAGGGGCCTCCCGTGGAGGCGGTTGTGCAGGTCGCTCCCCATCCCCATAGGCTCGCATCCGATTCCAGGACAAAGTCTGGGGTCGGTCTGAAAATCACCTTGCCATTCCAGGCTGACATTTGTAATAGCCACCAGCGAAGTTTGGTCTTGACTTCCTGCATGATGGGAAGCAGCTGGTCGTATAAGGGCTTCCTGCGCAGGAAGCGTGCTTTCAGGCGTTGCATGGCCCTGTAGTGGAGGGGACCTGGGTAGATGGCTTGGATTGATGCGGACAAGAGGCCCACCACTCGTGCCAGGACCCTGAGTGGGATCATTTCTTGATGCAGGATCCGTCGGATCTCCTTTCGAATGGCCGTGATCTTTACCTGAGGGAGGCGTAGGATGCACTGAGTCTTACGCCTCCCTCAGGCCAAGTGTGAGGGCCGACTTGTCTCTGTTGACCACAAACCCCAGGGATTCGAACAAGGAGACCGTGTAAAGCGTCTGAGATTTCAGCCTGGAGGCGTCCTCGCAGAAGAAAAGCAAATCGTCCAGATATATCAGGCACTGAATGACCCTGGAGCGCAGGCACGCTGTTATTGGTTTCAACAGTTTGGTGAAACACCAAGGTGCCGAGCCCGAAGGGTAGGCAGGTGAATTGGCGTGGTCTTCCTTTCCAAACGAAGCGTAGGAATCGTCGGCATCCGGATTCCACCGGTATGGATAGATATGCGTCCTTCAGGTCTAGGCGAGTGAACCAATCCCCAGGGCGCAGTAAGTCTCTTAGAAGATGGATGCCCTCCATCTTGAAGTCTTGATAGGAAACAAAGGCATTCAGGTTCCTCAGAATTATAACCGGACGGAAATCTCCAGTTTTCTTCTTGACTAGGAAAATTGAGCTGAAGAAACCTCTGTTGTCCGGCGCCCAATGAACTGCCCCTTTGTCGAAGAGGGCCTGTATTTCGGTGTCCACCAGGACTTATAGCGCTCTTGACGACACCGGAGTCGGGGGGGTGAAACTTGTTTCACCTGTGGGCAATCTGCCCCTACCGCGCGTCTGTTTCCCTTTGCCACTGTCTGACCTCTGGGAGGTGAAGGACCTAGAGTAGTAGCTGGGGAAGAAGGATGGTGTCCGGGATCCTCGGTGGCTCGATGGCCAGAAGCGGCTGGAGGCACGACCCCGCTGCCTTCCAGCCCTGCCAAAAACACGAGAGGTGTGAGAGCGGAATACCCTCCTCATTGAAGATTGGGTCTTGTTCAGAGTGGCATAGAGGTTGACGTGCCTCTGGAGCTCCTTGATGAAAGGTTCTCCGAATAGCAGCCCTTTGGCCAATAGTCCCAGCTCCTTGGATCCCAACTTCGATAACTTAGCGTCCATGCGCATGAGGACTGCCTTCCAAAGCAGGCCAGTTATAGGGGCACAGGCAAAGCAGGCCAGTCAAAGGGGCACAGACAGCGCAGGCCAGGTCATTAATGAGAGTTGGAAGGTAGATAAAAGGTCACTTATACTGGAGCGCTCCTCAGTTAGATAAATAGAGATCCTGAAAGACCATGTGTTAAAGGTCTAATGTAAGTCTCATATATATAAGAAGGGCACAGGTAGTAGTGAAAAAGCCCTATAAAACATAATAATCCTGTATGTACAACCCCAGCAGAAATAAATTGTAATGTTAGACTGAGGGTTAAGTACAGGGGAGTAAGGGGTGTTCCCAGACTGCCAGGACCTAGATAGGCCTCAGGCCGCGGTCTTTATTAGTAGTGGAAACTCCAAGTACCATGTACGTGCCTATAGAGAACTCCAATGGGCGGGGGAGGGAGCGTGCGTTTAGTGCTCCCTCCTCCACTCGGCGGACACACGCAGTCTGCGGATCGAGGCTCGGGGGATCGGAGGAGGCAGCAACAGGCCGGCCTCCAGAAACCCCCGAGCAGAATAATACCCGTGCGGTCAGAAAACGGGTAGAAAGCGGAGGGGACAGATAAAGGGGAACGAACCCCAGAGGGAAGAGTAGGAGACAGAAAGTAAACTCCCTACAATTCCAGAGGGAGAAGGAAGGCAGAATGCCTAAACCATAACACTAACAGTCCCCAAAATTAATAAATTAAAAAGAAGTAAATAATATTATACAATCAATTATACTGTAAATCATAAATCCCAAAGCCACCCACTAATATTAGCAGGAGGCAGTGGTACTGTGACCTGTACTGATGCGGAGCAGCAAAGAAAGAGGAAATAGAATGTTGAGAAGGGAGTTATATGGTGTCCTTGTTTTCTGATTGGTTGTTTACTCTCTGTGTTTTTTGCTGCTGTGGAGTTCTAGTAAAGAGAGAATTAAGCAAATATGAAGCCTCCTGTCATGTTATAAATTTATATGCCCTTGCCTATGGGCGACTTTTGTTTTGATTGATGTATTAGCAGGATTACAGTTTTCTGCATCAGACGACTTATTTATATTATGTTGAATTGTGATTGACACTGCCTCTGCATGATGGGAAAGTAGTTTATGTTTCTCAATGTTTCTCACTTATTTCATTTTATTACTTCTATTACTGTATGTTCACCTCCGCACCATTCACGCTCTTTTATTCCCATCTATCAAGGCGGCATATGTCACTATCTTAGTCCATGTCTATCTTTATCTCATACTATAAACATTTAGTCCTTCATATTCTTGTTACGATATATATAGAGGTATATATCATATATCCATACACATTATGATTACATATGTTTAGTCATCACTCGTTGGTTGCTTATACGTTTCCTAGCAACCAACTGCGTGCAGAACGGCGTTATACGCATTTATTTAGCTGGGGGTCACGTGCCCCGCACGAACACTTCCAGGTTCGGGTACACACAGGAGCTTCTCTTGGATTGGTAAGTCACTTTATTTCACATTATATATACTGAGTGTATGTTCTTATCACTTATTGATCTTGAGAAAGACCCGTTTTAGGGTCGAAACGTCGATCTGGACAGTGTGTTAAATTTTTTCAGAAAATCCCTCGAGTGCTCCCACTTAAGGTTTGCATATGTACTCATGCACAGTATTTTGATTCAACATAAATCCAGGCACTTTATTGTTGAAATTCACCAAGGAGACAACAGCAAATAAAAGAAACCATAATGTAACAGAAATCCATGCAAACAAAATCCTAGCTCATCTGAGCGCTTACTAACATTAAATTCCCTCTTTCTCAAGGGTTACACTATAACAATAACAATACAAGTTTCACCAACCTAGTGTATTGTCAACTCTCTGCACTCCAGTGCTCAGTCAGCCTGCTGCTTCCAGCCCTCAAAGGAGAAATAAAAAGTCTCCTCTACCTGTCTACCAGGGAGGGTTTTATTTCCCCTTCTGCAGCTGATTACCTGCAGCTGAGCAATGGGTTGGAGACCATCCAAAACTCTGGCATGGACCTTATTTCTCCCAGTTACTTGTAAACTGAGGAGTGGAGAACCGGCCCACCCTACTCTCCACGCCAGAGGCCCATAACTAAACATTCATTTATGTTGCATACAACACATATTCCCCCTGGGGTTAAATGCCTCTCTGAACAATTTAGCGGAAATATAAACTCCCTCAGAAACACCATTCACCTTATCACAATATATAAATAAATGTGTGTGTGTGTGTGTGTGTGTGTGTGTGTGTGTGTGTATATATATATATATATATATATATATATATATATACATAGTTACACACACACACACACACACACACCACGGTCCTTCACTCACTTTTCACTAACATTTTCTAGCCATGGTGCACCTCCAGCCGTAGAAATATAAACAAAGCCAAAGGAGAGCACTCGCTCGACTTGCTTTCAATCAAAATTTATTTCCAAAATCTTTGGTTTCAAAGGCAACACTTTAGTGTAAAAACTGAAATTTGCATGACTTATATTTGACTCTGTATTTATTCAAAACACCAAAAACGTGGACATGGGGGGTGCTCAAATTCTAGGATTTATTTAGATCAGAACTTGTACAATTGCCTCCGTCCTTAAAGCGTTAATCAGCCATTTACACAGATGAAGACAGCACAGTACAACTTGGGTTTTCTATAGTGCCTTTATCTTTTGTTTAGAATACATAAAGCTAAACGCTGATTAAAGTCTTTTATCTTAAAAGCCTCTTTCAGTACCTCTTCTACTGATTATGATGTTTGATGTATTCTGGCCTGGTTCCCCAGTAACGGGACAAAGAGTTTATCAACTGTTTGTTCCTTTACCTTGGACCTGCCGGACTCCGAGGTTCACAGGTGTTCCAGTAATGCACCTCTGACCAGAGTGTACCTGGAGCATTTGGCACCCGGGGCAGATCATCCTACATTTGCCCCCCCCCCCTTTTGCTTACACTGAGCAGTGTCTTTATTTTTTGATGTATTTAGCACCAAGCACTGTTTGTGTGTTTGAATGTTAGCATGTTTTTGTATGGAGTATGTGTGAGTGAATGTACGGGTGTGTTTGCACTTGTATTGGCATTTGAATGCAGGAGTGCATTTTTCTGTAGGGTGGTTTTTGAATATGGTGATATGTTTTTATGTAGTGTTGACATTTGGATGCAGGATTGTATTTGTGTGTAGTGTAGGCGAAATGCTGAGATGTATCCACATATACATACATATACTTAAATATACATACACTGGCACACATACACAGACACATAGGTACACACATGCAGTTACATAGAAACAGTCATACACAGATACAGACAAACACTGACACATACAGATAGTCACACATACAAACACACATATAGATAAAAACACACACACACATGCAGACAGAGAGAGACACACACAGGGACAGACACACATACAGACACAGTGATACAAACACAGACACACAAACAGATACACATACACACACTGACACATACAGATACGCATATACCAACACACATACAGACATAAGTGTGTGTCTGTGTGTGTTTGTATAGTGAATGCAGTGTGTGCTTGTATAGTGGATCAGGGGGGGTGATTGTGAGAGGGAGGGGGGTGATGATGAGAGGGGGGGTAATGCAGAGGGGACTCAAATATTATCTTAAATCCCTGGTGGTCCAGTGGGGGCTGCCTGGTGGTCCGTTGGGCTCCCTGGTGGTCCGGTGGCCATCATTTCCGGTCTGCAGCTCCACAATGTGCAGAGCTGCAGACCATGGATCTCGCGAGACCCAGTCAGAGCGTTGACGTGGTAACCCACGGCAACGCTCTGATTGGGCAGTGCACGCGAGACACATGGTCAGCAGCTCTGCACATTGCGGAGCTGCAGACCGGTCTTGGCGACGAGGCGCAGGAAGGGCATTGCAGTCTGCCACGGGCACCCCCTTACTGAGTGGCACCCGGGGCGAACCACCCCCCTTAGTACGCCACTGCTTCTGACTTTTGCAGAGCTGCAGAAGTCAGAAGCTGTGGCCATTGGCATTCATTGGCTGAGAGCATCAGCTGACGATCTTCCGCCATTGACTGACATTCTGTGCAATTACATTTGCACAGAATTTACATTAGCCTGCCTGGCGCTCACTGTTTGGGTGAGCTAATGCTACTTCAAAGGTTATCTCTAATACATCACACAGTTGTTGCCCATCAATCATGTAAAAACACATTTCCACATCAAACTCAAAGTTGAAATGGTGTGACAGTCTTAGTATATGGTATGTGTTCTAATGCAAAGATGATAGTGATTTCAAGAGATACCTGATCATACACTTTAACAGTGATATTTTTTTGCTAACAGGATATCCAAAATTAGTCAGTTTATGGAAATGAAAAAGACAATCAATTTCAAATGGGGCTGCATGACAACATCAATTTAAGTTATGCCAAGTGCTTAAATTTAGGCAGATTCTCTACTATTTTCTTCCTAAATGAACAAGCCCTTAGTGATGAGGATCTTTCATAATTAACATGTAGTAATTAATTGCTGTGCCTTTTTAATGATGATTTCTTTCCCCTCGATTATAGCTGCACTGGGAACTGGCAAAAATCCAATTATATTCTCCTATTCAATAGTTCTTAGAAATATTTTACAAAATAAAACTTGTGTGAAAGGCATGTCACAGAAGATTAAAATTACACTTAAAATATTTATAGGAATATTGATATATGCAAAACAAATGTGCTATAGTCATACACCATATCTTGGCATAAAGTGCTCAGTATATCCCTGTGGGTGCTAAATGGGTTTAAACTGACTTGGTCACTTAAAACTTACCTTTCTTCTATTGTTTACTTTTATTTTGCTCTATCAGAGTCAGTTCTTCTTATCTTTATTTCTGATCTATATTTCTTTAAAACATATGTCAAGGTAGGGAATACTTTGCCTTAATTATTTTTCCTGATGCTTGACAAAGGGTAGAACAGAAGACATAAGTCAAGTTCCACTTCCTTTGTCAAGACGGTGGAGCTTGCCTTTAGTTTCACTATTTGTCAAAATGTTGTCAATCGTAGGAAAAATACATAAAACAAACTAGTCTCACACTTTTGTGTGGTTGGAGTTATGACTACTTTCTTGTAGGGATCAGGGACCCTGGAGCACCTCAGACCCAGTCACCGAGGCTTGACTGGGATAACTGAGGGCCTTTTCCACCCTGGACCAGGCTACTGTCTTTATAGCCCTGGACACCCTTTTCATCAGCAGATTATATCCCTTTCCCCAAACACTAGACGACACTTGGTGAAGCACCAAACTTTAATGAACACATTTATGCCCCCAACAGCCTCAATTACATACAATTGGGTGCATAGAGCTATGTTGTATAAGGGTGGGTGGGCCAGACAAAAGCAAAGGCTGAGAACCAAATGCGAGATTGAGGAGGGAGAGGACAGCTAGTTTAAACGGGTCTGACAGTGTCCCTGGGGCAACTCCCTGCTGGGGCCACAAAAGTACAGGAAAAAGGGGGAGGGAAAAAGGCACATACAATCAATACGTTCAACTTACCCTGCACCAATAATGGGCACAAGGTGATCAAAATACAAGAGGAATCTGGGAACCCACTCATAGTGTCTGTCTTCCATCCCCAGTGATGGTGACTACCGTCACAGGCAGTGTTTACAGCAAAATGCCTGCAGGGACTGACTATAGACACCATAACAACATAATTAAAGGATCACTATAGGGTCAGGAACACAAACATGTATTCCTGACCCTATAGTGTTAACACCACCACCTAGCCCCCCTGGGCCCCTCATGCCTCCATAAATATAGCAAAATCTTACTGTATTCAAGCCAGAAGCTGTAGCTCTGCATGCTGTTAGCCTAAAAAAAAAATCAAGCTGTAGGCTGACATCATCAGAAGTGGTAGCCTGATCAAATCACAGTGCTTCCCAATAGGATTGGCTGAGACTGACAAAGAGGCAGATCAGGGGCAGAGCCAGCACGATTCAAACACAGCCCTGGCCAATCAGCATCTCCTCATAGAGATGAATTGAATCAATGAATCTCTATGAGGAAAGTTCAGTGTCTGCATGCAGAGGGAGGAGATACTGAATGTTTGGATGCATTTTAGGCAGCCATGATCCAGGAAGGATCTCTTACAGCCATCTAAGGAGTGGCCAGTGAAGTTATCACTAGGCTGTAATGTAAACACTGCATTTTCTCTGAAAAGACAGTGTTTACAGCAAAAAGCCTGAAGGTAATGATTCTACTCACCAGAACAAATTCAAAAAGCTGTAGTTGTTCTGGTGACTATAGTGTCCCTTTAAGCTGTAGTTTTTCTGGTGACTATAGTGTCCCTGTAAATGTGCTTTTTAGTTGCTGTTATGTTATAAGTGTTATATACTGATATGCACCAAACATTCTGACATCTCAGGAAACACACACAAGAGAAGAGACTGAGAAATATGTTATTGTAGAGCTACTGTCTCTCTTAAATAGACACACTTGGGAGGTGTGTTTGTATGATGCAGGGCATCGTTTTAATATCCGTGAATGCTAATTCTAGTTTTCAAATGTTTGAATGGTACATTCCATATTCAAGTACTTTACGTAGTTTCCCATTTGTCTTTAAAGGGACACTCCAGGCACCCAGACTACTTCTGCCCATTAGAGTGGTCTGGGTGCCAACTTCCACTACTCTTAACCCTGCAACTGTAATTGTTGCAGTTTTTTATAAACTTCAATAATTACATTGCAGGGTTAACTCTAGTAGAGAGCCACTAGAGGGCACTTCCTGGTTTCTAGCACAGGAAGCCTGTGCTAGAGCGTCGCTGGACGTCCTCACGCTGTGTGAGGACCTCCAGCGTTGCTCATTTCCCCATAGGAAAGTATTGAAAAGCATTTTCAATGCTTTCCTATGGGGAGCTCTAATGCGCATGCGCGGCATTGCCGCGCACGTGCATTAGGTCTCCCCGGCCGGTGGGCGGGGATCAGTCTCGCCCACCGAAAATGGATTGTTTTCCTGGCACTGGAGTTTCCCTTTAAACGGTCCTGCACTATAAGTGAGTGAATAATACTGACACTTAATGAGATTTCGAAAAAAAGTTTCATGTTTAGACTACAGCCTTTAGCCGCATCCATTCATATTGAGAATAGCTCAACACCTGACCAAATTTGCACCTCAATGCCAATTCCCCATGGCTCTGACAGTTTATAAATGAAGAATGTAAAAGAATACTTGTCTGATGTGGAAATCTTTTTAGAAGCAACACTGCTTGTATCTCAGTAATACAGTCTAACAAGGAAATGTATCCGTGTACAGCATGTGCTATGTACGAAGCAAGTCTCCAAT